CCTGACCATACCTATTACATCGTCTCCACATTTTCATTGTTAGAAGGTCCCTGAGTCTATCAGGGTCATTACAAAATCAATGACAGTTAGGAATACCTTTTCTTTTTAAGCGCATAATGAAACTTCTGCTATTATCACCAGTAAAAGTACTAGTAGAGTAGTCTTCATCCAACTAGATATTCTCAGACTGATATGAAAGGGCATTACAAAACGATTTGTTTTTGTTTTTTTTCCTCCACTTTTATAAGCTCTGAGTTTTCACTAAATACAACTAGTTACAGAAATCACAAAAACATAGGAATGCGCTTTTTTTTGCCTGCTTCATGGAAAGGGTGTAATGTTGCAGTCAAGGCAAGGCTTTAGCTGGGAAGGATGAGAGAGATGATGCCAAAGGCTTCCCATCCTGAGGACAAGGCCCATGCTGCCCTGTGAGAGTGGTGCAGCAACGCTGTGCACCTGCCCTCAGAAAGTCCTTCACTTCAGAAGTGCAGGCATATTGCAAAAGTGCACTGCTGTGGAAAGTTCCTCAGTAGCAGTTTTGTCAGTAGCTAAAAAAAAAGCCAAAAACAAACCAAAAACCTGCCACTAACAAAAATGGCATGGAGTAGTCCATGATACATGAATTTCAAGTATGTTATATAAATACTTTACATAGAAGTGCCTATTATTAACAATATTTTTAAAGAAAAGGTCATCGCTGAATGTAGTGAATTACCATATGTCTTCACTCTCGAGATACAGCAACTGGCAGTTCTGTTAATAGCTGGTTTATCTACTTTATTTTACATCTCTATTTCAGCCACTAAAGAAACACTCTGGGACTTGGGGAAAAATTTCTTTCATACAAAAATGTCTCTGTATTCACATCAAGCATTATTACGGCCCTCCTTTGGGCTGATAAATAACAACAGTTCTATACTAGGAAAGACTTCATGAAATTTTGCAGCAAGTTACAGGAGAATTCATCCAGGGTTTTTCTCATCTTCTCCCTTTTCTGAAATCTGATTTTTTTGTTGTTGTTGTTGTTGGATTTTTCTGTTTGTTTTGTCTTTTTAAGTGAATTCTACTTTCTTTTAATTAAACTATAGCCAAAGTTAAGCTTTAGATTTCAAAGGTCATAAAACTGGTAGCCTCATTTATGTTCATCTGGTGCATGAAACCTGAGAACATTACTATTTTATGGGGGGAAGCATAGATCTCTTATCCCCTTCCCTGTTTCCAGCAATAGCAGCCTTTATAAGAAATGCCAAAAATTGCAAATGTTTCTATGTATGACTGTCCTTCAAAGAGCCCCTCCTAAGACTTCCAGAACACCCTGGTTGTGTACTTATTTTCTATTTTTTTTCTCTCTCTCCATCTCCATGCCACATATAATTTTGAATCCTTTCACATCTTCCAGAGGTTAGAACAAAATAGGCAAATGAGAAGCTTGGGAACTCCACAAGACACACAGGAGCTGTAATACCTAAAATCATAACACAGTAGGTGGCACTCTTCCCTTTAAAACCTAAAGCTATGCCTTGGGCATTGCTGCCATATTGACATGTTGCAATCAAGACCCAAAACCCAAAGCAACCCTCGCCATGGATAATTAGAGATTCTTAACACTGCAGAAACATAAACACTCAATTATTTCCATGGCCATGGGTAACACAGCACATAAAGAAAATAGAGGCGCACAAACTCTGCTCTGCCAGGTTTGCGCTTGAACTGGAGTAGTCCACTTTTACCTTCACAGGTCCTAGGCATATTTAAGCCATTCCTTCCTCAGAGGACTGGTGCAACAGGCCAAAAATGAAAATATTCCTTTAGAGATCTGTCAGGCTCAGGTCCAGGTTTTCCCGCAGCTGATTACTTCTGTGTTAGAATGCTGCTCATGCTTACTGTATGCTGTTGATCAGCAGTCAGACTTTGTGCTACTGACTTTATCTTGCTGTCAAAATGTCTTGCCCATCTAAGAATAATCCTGATACACAGAATTTATGAACATAAAATGCTCAAATGGTCACCAGTAAAAATCATTGCTTACCACTCTTATTTTTCTGTTGCCTTGTCAAACAAAGCTTGCCACAATTTGTTGGATGTGACTTGCTCCATGATACACAGATCTAGGTCTGACTTATAACATTAAGGATCAGTCCAGACCAAATGTACTCAGAACGTAGCTTTAGGTCCTTAGCAAGTATTGATTCCCAGCAGAAAACAGTATTTTCAGTTTGCGGCTTAAATATTAAAAAAAGTCCACATTTAAGTAATATTTCAGCAACTGCGTTTACTTTTAGAAAATTGCTCCGACAGGCAAGGCATTCCTGGGTCAGCAAAGCTTGCTTGGGTGAATGAGACTGCAAAAGGTTAGGGCTAAAGATTTACTTCATCAATAAATGAATAGTAGCAGGTCAAATACTGCAGCATCTGTATCAAGTTAGGATAGTGAAAACTTCTGGTTTAGTACAGTTCAACTTCTCTAGCATATGCTGCATCTAATATAATTTCAATGTTGTTTTACAGAATTTCAGGATTTACTGGCTTGTTTGTTTTCAGCATTCTGCTACAGCATATGGGAATCAGGTACTATACACAAAACATTTGTTTCAGTAGTATAACAATGTGTTCTTGCAAAGAAGCTGGATGTGAGACATGTATTAGCTCAGGTCAATTTAATCCTAAAACATTTTACGTCTCCCCTGCTGTAAACCATGAGAGCTCCTTTCATGTGTATGGCTCTTCAAAACAAGATGACAAATTTCCCCTTCCCTTCACAAAACATGCACAAGCAAGTTCACAATCACCTACTTCCTTTCTGATGCAAACAATTCTAGTCTGGATTTTTCACAGGTCATTAATTTGATCTCTGTCCTTTCCTTTTTCTTTTTTTTTTTTTTTTTTTTTTTTTTTTTCCTTTTCAAAAATTTAGGCAACGGTTTTTTTTTTTTTTTTTTTTTTTTTAGTTCCTTTCAAAAAATTAGTGAACGCAACTCATCACTCTTAGCCCGATCTACCTCCTTCTTCAGTCTTAAACACCAGTAACTGCAATCTTCTACTTGCAAACATAAAGAAGGGACTATGGCTAAAACTCACTTTCATCTTCAAGCAGCTAGAAATGTTAACTAGCCATCTTCCTCATAGATGTCAGTGCCCATTTATTTTTTGGTTCAAGTAGCATGAGTTCTGTTGATAAGGCTGGTTTGCCATTAAGCAAGAATACACAGTTTTCAAGTAGACTAATTGAGAACACACAGAACATCTGTGACTGCCTAGTTTGTAGTCTCTGAAAGCACTCACCTGCACTTCAAGCCTCTGGTGCCTAGTACATGAAAAGCAAATGCTGCAAATATACATTACAGTATTACTTACTATTTTAAATTGTGTTTAGCATTTAGCAGAAATCTCATCTGGGCATGCTGCTCCTGAGCTAAGCTTCCATGAATGCCAGAGGTTTTCTCCAGTGAAGAGTGGTGGAGAACAGAAACCAGCTTTTTTATGCATATGAAATTATTTGGCTTTAAAGAGAATCAATTCTCGGTCTTGTAACTTATGAGAAACTACCATATTAAAAACAGACTCTTATTAGATAAAAGGAAACCCCAGACAGTGAAACACCTTGGCAACTGTACTTCTTTAATAGTGACAAACCTTCCCGATGCTACAGTATCATGTACTTGCTTTCAACCATGTTCAAAGCAATTTCATGAAGAGAGAGATTTGTTGGAGCAGACCTGAATTTCCTCACAATACACTAGAACAGTCTCATTAAAAAAAAATAAAGTTAAAAAAAAAAAAAAGAAAGAAAAAGGAGAAGCTAACCACAGCAAGATCATTTTGTGTTTCTAATCTGAAAAAAAGGGCAGAGAAAAACCTGAGCATGGTAAGAGCTGCATAAATCTTACCATGAGAGAAAGCTACAAAATCTCAATGAATTTTGAGAATTGAATTTTAAATCAAAAGAGCCTGACTGCACTGGACATTGGATGAGAATGGTTTACTGGATAACACTTAAATTAAATGAATGCACACCAATTGTTGCAAAGACAGTGGGGAAAATCACACCTTTAGCTACGATCTTTGAGGTCAAGCAAGTAATTATATCGTTGCTGGATGATACAAAACAAGTTAGAAGAATCCATGTCAAATAATAATCAACTTCCTGCAGCCCTGTGACAGAAAATGGATGTGGACACTTAGCACTTCGTTATTTACAACACCTGCATGCTGTGTGTGTGCCTTTAGAAAACGAAGCATTCACCTTACAGCGCCAGGAATTAGTATGTTTTACAGTTTATCACAGACCTAACTAAAGCCTTTATTTGCTGCTGTTCCATCAGTGAAATAATTTTCTGCAGCAGCTAAATATCCGTGCTGCACAGACGCTGGCACAAACGAGCATGTTTACAAACTTCAAAAGCAGCAATTATCTCGGGAGAGGAACAGGAGAACAAATTATCTCCTGAACAAGCGGACAGAGCCATTTGCCCAAGGGAAACCCAGCATTACTGCCTTAGGACTCACCCTGGGATGAGCCAGGCAGGACAGCGGCGGTGGAGACAGGCAGAAGGGCATCTCCACTGCAATTTAGCGGGCTGCAGCCCCAGCCTCAGCCCCGCTTTCCCCGCCAGCCCTCTATCCGCACGCCGTCCGGTCCACCCCCAGGAACGCCTTCCTTGGACAGCCAGGCAGCCAGGCACGAAGAAAGGGGCGGTGGGACGGCCGAGCCCTAGCAAGAAGCAGGTGCTTTCCTCACGCGTGATGGAGACCCAAACTTTCCACCGCCTTCCCTGGCGGCGGAGCGAGGGGCGGTGCTGACCCTCGGCAGCCCCAGGGGGGCTGCCCGAGTCACCGCCGCCGCGCCCCGTGCCTCGGCGCCGTGCTGCCAGCGCTCCGCAGACGGAGGCACAGGAGCCTTCCCTGCCCGTGCAGATAAGGGGACAGGGTGTGTGAGTGCAGGGTGAAATCCCTTTCCTGCTCAGCATCATCCTGTTCCTTGCTCAGCATCCTTTCCTCACCTCAGCAGCATGCTGTTCCCTCCTCGGCATTTCTCCCAACCTCAGCATCCTCGGCACGAAGGAGCCCCGCTCCCGGTCCCCGCCCGGCGTCGCCGCGCCCCGCCGCCAGACCCGCGCCCCGCCGCGGCGCGGGGCGTTTGCGGGGCGCCGCGTCGGCAGCCTGCAGCCCCTCCTGGAGGGCCAGCCCTGTTACTCGCCATTAAAAAAAAACTTTCTCTTTTCCGCCGTTTCTCCCACTTGGCCCGGAGCCCGAGGGCGGAGAGGGGCTGAAGGAGCGACAGGGCGAGTGCGGGGCGGAGGGAGAAGAGTTGCGCTGCCTTGCACGGCTTCCCGCCCGCCGGGCGGCCACGGAGGGGTCTGGCCTTGGCCAGCCCGTCCGCCTGCGCTCCCCGGCCAAGGAGAAGCGGCTTGGCAGTGCCGCCGGCCCGGGGGGTAAGAGGCTTGGGGCGTCCGGCAGAAAGGGGCGGGGAGCATCCCTACTCCAGAGCCACGCTTCGCGGGTGGAGGGAGGGCAGCCGGCATCCCACCTTCACCGGGGCCAGGACGGAAGGGAAGGCGGCCACTGTCGGTGGGGAACGGGCGGGGAGGTGAGCCCGCGGCCCCAGCCCACGGTCGCGAACAAAGCCCGCGGCTGCGCCTAGGGCTGCTCCGCGGAAGAAGTTGCCTCGATTCCCGGCCACTTCCCCCAAAATGCAGCGCCAGCCTCGGAAAAAACCCATAAAGAAATACATCGGCCGCGACCCAGCTACACCGCGGGAACGGCAGAGACGGCGGGGTTACGCCTCTACACGGAGCGCACCCATAGTTCTTGTAACAAAGACCCCAGCACCCAGCCCCACACGATGCCCGGAGGCCCCGGGGTTCGCGCCCGGCGGCCCTGGCGGCGGCGTCCCGCGGCCGCCCAGCTCCCTACGGAGCCCCTGGCAGTAAGAGCTCGGGGATGCGAGGCGAGGAGCCCCAGCACAGCGCATGCAAGCCGTGCCAAGGGCTAGGGGAGGGAGGATAACATGTTAGGCAGTTGGGGGGGGGGGGGGGGGGGGGGGGTGCGGAAGGAAAAGATGGGCAAATAAAAATGAAAAAAAAGATGAAGCCACGAGATGCCGGGAAAGTGACAACAGCAAGCGCAGCGTGTACACTTGCGGGCGGCTCTCCTCCTCCCTAGGCGCTGCAAACGACGTCGAGATAGAAGGCAGAAGCAGCCCACCTCAAACCACACACCACCCTCGCTCCTTCCGAGCCGGCCGGACGATTCGTGAACCTCCCCTTCCGAGCAATCCCAAAACACTAGGTAGGGGTACGGACAGGGGGTTACTGTACCTTTTCGGTGCATGTATCTGGGCAGCTAGAGGACAACTAGCTGATGTAGTGTCCCATTTAGTAATCCATTTTAGGGGATCTGTCTGGGAAACTGGAGCCACTCTCTCCTTTGCAATCCTTTGTCATTACTACATGTGTGCTTCCCGGGGGATGGTATATGTAATATTTCTACTTTCTGAATTGCAAACGCAATTTGTTCATTTCCAATGATGGACGAAGAGGGGAGTGATCAGAGAGAAGAATAAAAAAAAATTTAAAAAAAGAAAAAAAAAGAAAAAAAAAAAAAAAAGCGTTAGCAACTCCTCTCCAGACCCAAATTCCACTACGGTTCCACTCCACTAAGTCCCCTTCAGTCGAGTCTCGGGAGGTAAGTCATTTCGGGGTCTCCTGGTCCCTCTCTACCAAAAGCGCTCCCGGTGTGACGGCTGCTTCAGCAAAACTCCGAGGCTGGAGGTACTCGCTGTGCCACGGCAGGAAAGCGTAGTCTCTGCTCGCCTCGAGCTGCCGGGCATCGGACTGTGCGCGGTGAGGACGTGGGAGCCGCTGCCGCTGCCGCTGTCGCTGTCTCTCTCTCTCTCTCCCTCTCCCTGTCTCCCGCCGCTGCCGCTCCGTCTCCCGCCGCCCTCGGGACGCTCCGCCGGCGGAGGCGGAGACAAAGCCCGGACTGGAGCGCGGCGGGCGCGCCCCGCTCCCCGCCCCTCCCGCCGCCACGGGCGGGGCACGCGCGCAGCCGCCCCGCCCCGCGGGGGGCGGGGCCGCAGCGGCGCCGGGCGAGGCGCGAGGGTCCGCGGGCGGCGCGGAGCGGGGCGGCATCCTTGTGTGGCTCGCTGTGGGCGGCGCAGCTGCCAGCGACACCTTCGGGCTGGTGCCGAGCGTCACCGGGCTTACGTCGAGCAGGTGTTTGCGGAGGGGAATCGCCGCCCCCGGCCCTCGCCTGTCTTCTCGGAGCTGTCGCCGCCTCCAACCATCACGGTCGTTCGCGCCGTCAGGGCGCGGAGAGGCGGCGAAGGGCGGGGAGACTCTCGTGGCAGCGGCGAGAGCACGGTGTAGGGACAGGGGCAGCCGGCTGCAGCCCCACGAAGGACTCGCCGCTTCTCCGCGGGATCTGGGGCTGCTGCGGAGCCCGGGGCGGGCCGTACCCCCTTGGGCGCATCCCCCGGGGGAAAGCGGGGACGGGGGCCGCAGCTGGCTGCCGGGCGTCCGCTTGTCGCCTTTTCTCCCTTCCCACCGTCTCGGTCCCGCCTCGGTGGTCGCTGGCTGCACTAATCCCTGTCTCGGAGCCGATCCAGCCGGGAGCAGGAGCAAGCGGCGCTAATACACTAATCCCCCTCTCCCCGTCCCCGCGCCGAGGCCCCCCGCCGCTGCCGCCGGCGGTAATCCTCCCGGCCCGGCCGCGGGGCGGTGCGGGGGCGGCGCTTGCACCGCTCCCCGCCCGCCCCCAAGGGGCCCTGCGCCGCCGCTGCCGCTGCGCTCCCGGGACGGCCTCCCCGCGGCGGCAGGCGCGGAGGCTCCGCCGTGCCAGCAGACCCCGCCGGGGCGCTCGGCCCCTGCCTGCGGGCGTCCCGCCGACCCCGAGCCGCCGGCCCCTGATTGCGGCCCTCCGCGCTAACCGCTCTTCCCGGCCCCCCTCCTCCCGCGCCCCGCTGACCTCTCAAAGCATCAGGGCTGGGACGGACAGGAGCGAGCTGCGGTGTAAACCCCGCAAAACAGCTCAGAGTCGGTGAGGTGAAAATCCGCGTGTTCGTTTCTTCGACGGCGGCGTGTGATTCCTCATGAGTTTTACTAGTGATTTCCGTCCTCTAGATCTCACCGGAGTTAAGGCTGCGAAGAGAGCCTCTAGTTGTTTCAGCGTGAAGGTATCTTGTTTCTAGGGCATTCATTTACATGTGCAATTGCTTTAATAGGATTTATACTTCCCCCCCACTCCCCACCAGATAAGTGAAAGGACAGAGTTCAGCTAGAAAAATTGCTGTCAGGTCACGAAGTATGGCATTAAAATTAAAATAATTACTTATTTATGACAGCTGATTTTTTTCTGCCTTTTATTTTCAGATGATGAAAGGACTGTAAGGCATTGGTTTGGGATCTGTGTTTGATTTGGATCTAAAATTAACCACACATCCATTAAATTTCTAGTTGTTAGATTACAAGGGAAAACATTCATCTGTATCAAGAAACAGTTTCTTCTTTCCTTTCTGACAGTTTAAACTGAATGTGTACTTAGGGTAATGTTATGACCGAAGGAACCAAGACCTAATATATATTTTCTTTCTTTCTTTCTTTCTTTCTTTCTTTCTTTCTTTCTTTCTTTCTTTCTTTCTTTCTTTCTCTCTTTCTCTCTTTCTCTCTTTCTCTCTTTCTCTCTTTCTCTCTTTCTCTCTTTCTCTCTCTCTCTCTCTCTTTCTCTCTTTCTCTCTTTCTCTCTCTCTCTCTTTCTCTTTCTCTCTCTCTTTCTCTCTCTCTTTCTCTTCTCTTTCTCTTCTCTTTCTCTTTTCTCTCTTTTCTTTCTTTCTTTCTTTTCTTTCTTTTCTTTCCCTGAAAATCTAAAACAGAAGTGAGTTCTGCACCAAACAGGGTTATTGCTGGAGACAGATAAATGTTAGTGAAACAAACTTCTTCTAGATCTGAAAGCAATTAGAGAAACTCAACTGGTACAAATAATTTCTGGGTACCCAAGTGTCTGTCAGGGGGGTAAACCAGATGAATGTACCTTGATTTGCCAAGACCCCTAACCCCATTTCCACAGAGGCCCTTGATCATATCATGGTACTTCTTCCTCTGTCAGGAAATGAGAACAGAGACTGAACATAGTCAGGACTTGTGGGGAATACCCATTTCACAATAGCTAAGGCTGACATTTGATCATTATATTATGTTCAATCAATACATACATTTTGAGGTGTTCAAAACTGCCACCAACTTTGTTGTGGGTTTGAACTGGAAGCAGATATAGGTTTGGGCTTTACTATGTGCTTCAGCTACTTCACAAGTATTTCCGCAATACTGAATGGTTTATTTTACCATTGGATTTCTTTACTAATCAAAAAAGGCTCCCTGACAGAGAATATTTTCCTCTCCTATATTTAGGCTTTTGAAAAATACAGACCAGATTTTTATACAATGAAAGTTCTGGAAGAATCAACACTAAAAAATCCGACTTTCCAGATAGTGGTACTAGCTAAGGCATCAGTTACTAGAAGTTTTATATTCTGGTTTTTTTACAAAATTGTTTTTTTATTCATCCATTTTCCCCATCTTCACTTTCCATGTCTTTGTCTGCCTAACTTCAGTTAAATCATGCACTGTAGCCATTTTTCATTTAGCCCTCTGCCAAAATGACACCGAGCTCTTCTGTCCTTCATTACCTTTTGGTTTGCTCTACAAACTCTTAAGTGTCTTCATGACTTGAAAACCCACCCTCATTTTTACCTGACTCCCTGTTCCCTTTCTCACTCAGTACTCAAGTCCAATGAACTATTCTCCTCGTCTTTTCTCTCTCACCAAGCTTTTTAGTCTATTTTTGTGGAACTTTAATGTCAATCTCAATCCTTCATGCTGTCAGATTTTCTGAACACAGAGACACAACCTTACTTGTTTTGCCTAGACTAGTTAACAATTGTGGGCTACTCACATGGGCTTGGGGAAGGGAATGATTACCGTTATTGATGGGTAAAGACATATTTTTTTTTCACTGTCTGCTTTTTGGCAGCTGCAGTGGTAGAGTGCGATGGGTTTTCCAGTCAGGAATTCTTGGTGAGGTCTCCATGGAGCTGTGCATTTTAAAATCCTGATCTGAACAATTCACACAGGCTATGGAGAACTTCAACTCCTTCCAACCGCTCTGCAAAGTAGGTCTTTACCAAAAACTTGACTTTAGTTTGTGTGAAAATGTTACCTCTACTCTTTCTTAATCACATGTGAAATATGTTTGTGAGGCAGCTGACCTGTATGGAAGAAGGGCATTTTTATCTCCTTTGCTGGCAGCAGCTGCCTTTTTTAGTTGGGACGTGCAAAGTTCAATGCTAATTTGTGTGCTAAGCCCCATATTGTATAATACATATTTCCTACTGTACTATCTTCCCAGATCCATGTGATTGTAGGAACAGCATCTTGTTAGATGCAGCTCTCAGGAGCTGGGATACTGCAGGGGTGCAATGGCATCTTGTTGTCTTTCTGCACCAGAATATTCAACGCATATGCAATACATGCAATATTCCCTGATTCCAGTTGTTAATGTTAGATTCAGTTCAGCTTCTTCTTGCCATTATTTCAAAAGCTCAAAATGCAGCAGAGTTTTACATTGTCAAGAAACAAAACAAATGGCAGAGCTGAGGACTTTGACAGCTGTCTGGGAGATACAAGGGGGTTTTGCCCCAAGGAAGGTATGAGATAGATTTGATGTCCATGAGGGGCTTAAGGGCTTAAGGGCCCATCTTAGGAGGGCTTGTACTCCTTTTTCCTCTTTGCTACTTGGGCAGCAGCATCAGAGGAGATGCTTTTACCCATGGAGATATGTTTCACCACAAATACAAGCAAAATGTTGAGTGCAGGCACATCTTAATATAAAATAAGTGTTGACTTCTTTAATCTTATAGCAATACTGAAATCTCATCAAACTGCAAATATGATTTGTGTCAAGACAAGATTTTTGAATGCCTGGC